TAGCAGCCACCTGAAAGGTTTCACTCAACATCATTCCTTTGACATGAATTTCGTGAAGGATCCTTAGAGTTCTTGCACTTGACTGATAACAGTTTTGGAGTCCACCATCTTATGGTCTAGGAATTTGCCGACTATAAACTTTTTAGCTCCGGCATCCTCAGTTTTGTATTTCCGATCCAAGGACTCCCACAATTCCTTAGCAGTTTTCATGGTACTATACACATTGTACAGCGCATCTGCTAGGCTGTTCATGATATAATTTCGGCACAAAAAGTCTGAATACTTCCAAGCATCAAGTGCACTCAATGCTTGCACATCTCCCTCACCCTCATTAAGCTTTGGAGCAGTTTCAGTCAAGAATCTCGCAAAATTCAAGGTAGTCAAGTAAAAAAGCATTTTCTGCTACCACCTTTTGAAATTCAAGCCATTGAATTTCTCCGATTTTTCTCCATGATTAACCGGAACAGTTACAGTTTGGCTCACAACATAACTTGGCATTCTAGCCACAGGCTGAGCCACAACGGAGCTTGGCCCTTGAGCCACATTAGAACCCACAGCCTGATTTCCAGCAGGAACATTTTGGGTCACATTCATGTTGTTCGATTCAGTTGCCATTTCTGAAAACAAACCAAATATTAGTTCCAAGAAATCAAAATTCAGTTAAACCAAAAACCAACTCTTGTTTTCCGAATTCACAAACTGTCTTAAGCTTATAGGAAAACAAGTCGCTAGTGGATGAAACCAATTGTAAAAGTTTTATTCAATTGCAATAGCCAACTATTGAAATTAATAACCACAAGGCAAACGATTTCAATTTATCAAAAAAAATTCGGTTTCAGAATTTTTCAACGGCTGAAAAAAAAATGTTTAGCAACACAAAATCAGAAATATAAATTAACTGCAGGCTAAAACTGTAAACGATGAATCTGGAAGCTGCACACTATAGAACTATAAACTGCATGAATTAAATAGCAATGTGAAAATAATCTGTAGAAAGAAAACACAAACTGCAGCAGGTTTCAAACATAGGCTTGTGCGTGCACAGTTTCCTTAAGACAGTTTCGCCCCCTCACCGTAGGTGCTGGAGGTTCAGTTCGAGCGGCTATCTCCCAGGATACAACGAAAATAAGCAGAATCCAAGCACTCCGATTCTACTCTGGCGAACTGATCTAGTATCCGAATAATATTACCACAAGAACAAGACCTTACTGGACAAGAAATGCAGAAAAAAAAAAGAAACTGTGTATGGAGAAATGTAGGTGAGATTTTCGAGTGTGTTAGATTGCTGGAAAATGAGCATTTTTATATTATAGGCATACTGCCCATTAATATTGTGATCATTGGGAGTCCATTGAAATTACTTCCCATTAACACTGTGACCATAGGGAGTCCATTGGAGTTTTTTCAGTTTAGAAACTCAAAAATCATTAGAGAAAGTCAAAAAAATTGGCAAAATGTGGGCTCACCGATGGGGCCATTTTTGCCTTGTTCGGTCCGACATTCGTGTGTGCAGGTCGCACCCGCACTCAAGTTCAAGGTCCGAAGGCCATTTCGATTCGTGATTTGCACCCCCTGCACGCGCACGTGGAGAGAGCCTCTATGCTACACATGATTACACATTTTCAAAGCATAGCCATATATAAAGTGATTTAAATTTCCTTGATTTTCCTATGTGGGATAAATGCATTTTTTCCCACAAAACCAACTTCCAATGACCAACTTTGAGCTTCAATTTCTCATTCACCCGAACTTCATTTTTGGCAAATAAATACATGAAATCGATGTTCTCGCGGAAGAGAACACATATCAACTTTATATTCCACATTGGACCAACGGGTCCCATCGAAAATTGTGCCAAAAGTGAGCCGCTCACTCAATTGTTTCCTACAATAACAGAGGAAGAAAAACCCATGAAGGAAAAAATAGGAATTTTTAGTAAAATTTAAAAAATAAAAATGCCACAAACCTGCAAAGAGAACATAAATTCATCAGTCAATTTCTTCTTCAAGATCTGAGTGAGAGAATGTTCATATAAGTCGCATAAAAGTCAAGAAATAAGTTTAAAATAACTGATCAGAGGTTTAATTAGGTCGGTCGGCAAGACAGGGGATGGAGATATAGAGTAATGAGCGACGGGGATTATTTGGAGGAAATGGTATGGATTCCTGGACTTTTCTCTTTAACTTATGTTTTGCTTATTTTTCAATTTCATTTTCACTTCTTTTGCCTTTTTTAAATGCCAGCTCAAATTTTTTGAATTCCTATACATTTCATGTGAAATGTTTCCTGTACCCATAGCATTTTATCGTTAAAAGACTAAAAAAGTGACTTTGTATTTGCATTATTCGTATGGATGTGTGCCAAGTCACCCCCCCTCTCTCTCTCTCCCCAAATTCATTGTTTTGCCTCTTTTTTTGGGGATCGAATCCTACATCAGTTAACTCCTCATTTTTTTAATAGCAATACAACATTGTCTAACTCCTCATTTCATAAAACGACAACGTTTTTGCATAATTTTCCTTTTAAAACCATTCACACATCAAATGCAGTGTTTGAATCCCTATATATGTGCTTCTTATGAAGAGAACTGTTACAATACAAAAAGGAATTCTAATCCTTGGTGTATTCAGGTGCTTATGTTTGATGTAATTGATGCTTAGTGCAAATTTTTTAATACCTACTTTATTACGTAGCCAACTACACTATAACATGTGTTTTGGCCTTGCATCTCACTAATATAGGTAAAAGAATGGAATTGAAATCTTTCGAATGTTTGATATGTGGTTTCATCCCATCAACTCACATATTAAAGATCACGATGTCACATCAAGGACATCGTACATGTAACCTCCCACACATTGTCCTAGGTGGGAAATAAGGAAATTGACTCACAGTCGTCCTTGTAGAGATGTCACATCAATAAGATTGCATACAACTCAATGTGTTAGGTTGCAACTTGCATAAAGCATGAAGGATATAACGTCAATTGCCTCAAAGTCAAGAGGCCCATATTTTACACAATCTTAACTAGATCTAGATGATTAAATTTGGCTTGGCTATTCACACACATAGGTTGAGCATTGGATGAGATAAAATTATTTTAGCAGCAATATTGGAAGCATGTTGCAATATAACTTCACAGTTTTTGAAGTTGAGGCAAATATGACCAACTATTTAATAAAGTGAGTTTTTATTGCTCGCATGCTCGTGTGTTATTAGAGTTGAGTAGATATTTTTGCTCAAGACTAGCAAAATGGTAAATTTGAGGGTATTCATTAAATGTATTTTATACGCTTATCTAGATTTAAAACTCGTATAATATTAATTTATTGAGTGGATTTCTACACATAATTGCTCATATATTATGTTTGTAAGTAACCATCCAGACTTGGTGGTGGATTAAGCAAAAAGAAGGTCAATTGGAGCTTAATTGGGCAGTTTAAAGTGAAAGGACTAGAAGTGTACAAAATATGGAGTTGAAGGACTAAAGGCATATAGAAACTTGGAACTGAGGACCAACTTGCTCACACACAAAATATCATAGACTGACATGAACGTTTTGCAAAGTTGGAGGATCAAAATTAACAAGTCATGAAGTTAGAGGGCTGAAATTGAAGAAGGCAAAATATAATTTTTAACTGGAAGACTCACTTCAAGGCCTCAGATTTTGTTCATGACTTTATTTATATGCATTTATAAAGTTCCAATTTATATTGAAAATAAAATAAAATTAAGGACTTATCCCTAATTTCTGTAATTCCCTCTATTATAGCTTTGTTTCATCCTTTAATTTGGATAAATATTCAACTATATTTCCTTATTTATTCCAATTAACATATAATTTTGTAATTATATATGGTATGAATATGACTTTCATTTGCTATGTACAGAACTTCATTTCCTCATTTATTTCAATCAACCTATTATTCTGTAATCATGTACAGTATGTGATATTCAGGTCTGAAAAAACAAAATTCATTTATTTTATGCATTCACTAGAAAATGCAAGACATTTATTCAGCAATTATATAAAATATGTAGTATAAATAAAAAAATGTGTAATAATAAAAAGATCCTCAACTCAACATTTGCTTATTTTTTGCACTTATGTTCACAACTTTTTAAGTCAAAATTAATATTTACAACTTTTTATTCACCAACAAAATTTGTCTTTGGTAACAGTTTCCTGTTTCGAAAAAAGACTTATATTTATCCCTTGTATTTTTAAATAATTAAAACAAACAACAATTACAAACGTTTAACAAACCATTTGGATATCATTTCATAGCACGCTAATAGTATATTTGAATAAAAATAATTATTAGAGACAATAGGTACTAATTGATTAAATATTAATGATACAAATGTGACGAAAAATGTTGAGTATATAAATGCATAAAGGAGCAAAATTAAGAACTTTCAATGTAATTAAATGTGGTGCTAATATAATTATAGACTTATAGTTCTATGCATTTTAGATTTGTGATACGAAAATAATATGTGACTTTATAATAAAAAAGTATTTTGCAACTATAGAATTTTTCAACTATGGTATGTGTTCTACATTTTTTTGGATAGATTCAATAAACAAGCCCAAACGATATGTCAAATTTGTGCAGCTCTTTCCTCGGCCCATTTTTTATTTTATTTTTTAACCAAACTCATTTTTAATTACGCATTTCATGAAACTCACATATTTTATTAAATTTTATTAAAAAATAACAGTAAAATAACCCGAAAACATCAAAAATCCCATGGCAAGCGTGAAGGATCCTAGAAAACATGCATTTCTAGCTAAACCACATGATAATGCAACTCACACACTCCTCTCCCTTCTTCCTTTTAAAGAATTGGATGCAACCATTTCATGCGTCTCGTTGATGACAACACTTCCCATGCATGCTTAGAATACTTGGAGCGCCTTTCTATATAATAACTTAAAATCTCTCTACAAAAGGCACACTCTCGAGATATCTTTCTCGGAAAAAAAATAAATCAAAATGTCATCAAAAGAAATCTCTCTACGCATTCGAAGAGAAGTTAGAGATGGAAATTTTCAAATTGCTACCTCTTTTGCCTTCTGTTTATCTCTTGCATTTCTAGTCGTTCTTTTAGCAACAATCATTAATGATCACTTCAAGAAATTCATTTTATACGAAGATTTATCCTTTTCTCGTCTCAATGCATTTCCACCTCTCTATTCTTTCTCTTTAACCTCACATTCTCAATGTAATTCTTCATCGGTGCACCAGTCAAATAGTTCAAATATGAGTTATGAGCTAAAGGATTGGATTTCTCCGAAAAGTCTTTGGCATTCAATGAGTGACGAGGAATTGATGTGGCGAGCATCTATTGTACCTCGTATGAGAGAGAATCCTTTTAATCTTACGACAAAAGTCGCATTCATGTTCTTAACTAGGGGAAGATTACCCCTCGCCCCATTATGGGAGATGTTCTTTAAAGGACACGAAGGCCTCTTCTCAATATACCTCCATACGTCACCGGAGTTCACCTATGAGCCTCCCGAGTCATCGGTATTCTACAAGCGTAGAATACCTAGTAAGGTATACACATACACAAATAGGCAATGACCATAAAAGTAACACTTTATATGGGGACTCGAAGCTTGACCTCCAATATACGATCAAGAAACAAAGAAAATGCAAGATTAACGACCTCTAGATGACTTACTAGGATTTCATTCTTGTTACATGTGAAAATTCATAGATAACCGTGCTAGGTGTTTTTTGAATTGGTACATGACATAACCACGAGACCTCCAATTCCAAAGTTACAATTGAATGCTCGTACCTTTTTGTTTCACTTTCACTATTTTTAAACCAATTTTCTTTTTCCTCCATTGCTAATATTGTCATTGGATTTCTCCTAACGCAGCCCGTTCATTGGGGAAGATCGACCATGATTGATGGCGAGAGGCGTCTTCTAGCCAATGCCCTACTTGACTTCTCTAATGAAAGATTTATACTCCTCTCAGAGACCTGCATTCCTCTATTCAACTTCACAACCATTTACAACTACCTCATAAATTCCAACCAAAGTTTCCTTAGTTCTTTTGATGATCCTCGACCCATAGGCCGTGGTCGATATAACAAGCGAATGTCGCCTTCCATTACATTATTCGATTGGCGAAAGGGCTCCCAATGGTTTGAAGCTAATCGAAAACTCGCCATCGAGATAGTATCCGATGTAAAATACTACCCGATTTTTAGAAACCATTGCATGCCACCATGCTACATGGATGAGCATTATTTGCCAACTCTCGTGACTAAAATTTGTCCTGATTTAACATCGAATACGACAATTACTTGGACTGATTGGTCTGGACGTGGCTCACATCCTACTACGTTTAAGAGAAATGATATTACAGAAGAATTTTTAGTTCGAATTCGCCATGGATTTAACTGTACTTACAATGGTGGGGTGAGCTCCATTTGCTTCCTATTTGCAAGAAAGTTTCATCCCAATTCTCTACAACCTTTGTTAAGGCTTGCCCCATCGTTGCTTGGCTTCAAAGCTTAACCTATGCAAAACCTGTGCAAGGAGTCAGCAAGTCTAATGTGCGGGAACAGAATGGACATGGATGCGTCTACTTAATTCACTTTATTTTCCTTCATAGCTATATGTTATTATTTTTATATTGCCCTACAATTATAAACAATTTCTATATATTTTTGAGACGAGGTAAAGTAAAATAATTTGTTCTTTCACTACATAATTTTTTTTGGTTCTTATAACTGTGATAAAAGAGTAATATTTAATATCAATATTGTTTAACATCAGTTTAAGTGACAACACTAGTGACATTGAATTATAGGTTCACTTAAATACAAAGAATTATCACCCATTTTATAGGACCTATGATATAATGACACCAAGATTGATGTTCAATATGATTGATACTAGATAGCATTACTCTATGTCAAAATGTACTTAGTAAAATTAAGCCCCTTTTTGATGGTTATTTTTAGTAGGGCTGTAAGTAAAAAATCATCAAATTGGAAAATCGAATTGAAACCGCATTTTAGAAATCATTGATTTGGTGCCACGTGGAAACGGTCAACGACACGGTTTTGAATCGCGGTTTGGTTTAGATTTGAAAATTTTAATTGCAGTTTAAAACTAAATCAGATCGGTGAAAAAATATATAAAAATAAAAAAATGAAAAAATGAATTTTTTTGAAAATTCAACCAAATGTGTAAAATTCAATAGTTTTGTCATTTGTGAGTATTTTTGTCAAATTCTAATTTTCTAATATAGCTATATTATTATTATCCAATAATCATAATTTATATATAATAATATCAATACTAATATAATCTATCAAAAACCATTTTTCACTTCAAAATTTAGATGAACTCCAGCCGACACTCAACACAGTTTTGAGTCACCGGCACTACACACTTCTTTTTTAGATTTTTCACGCCTCTTCAAAGTTGAATCGAAGTTCATTATACCAAATCGGAGACCAAAAGATCTTAAACATTCGGTGATAATATTTGCTACGAATAAAGTTTCAAATCAATAATTTTTTTGGAGCAAATTAAGGTAAGAATCTGAAATTAAATGCGTTTCGTAACATCATGCAAACATAAATTTGTGTAATTGTTATGTTTAGATATTATAAACAATTGCTTTATTATTGTGGTTGGTTATTCTCTTTGTTTAATTAGTATCGTTTTTTCAGACATGATGATCACGAGATCTTGTTAGACATCATTATATTTTTTGGATTTTATATCTAGTTTAGTAGACTTGTATTGTAACATTATTGTATCGTCATTAGCTTAAAAAAGGTGGAAAAAAATGAAAAAAAATATGTTTTAGTTTATTGTGATTTTACTTTGATTTAGTTGATATTTAAATTTATAGTAGATATATTTAGTCCTTGTTTGAGCCATATTTTTCATATCATCATAATGAAAAAATTGACCCTTGGAGAGGAGGCTAAGTCCCACACATGAAACAGCAAGTCAACAAAGGCTACTGAACTTATGGGATAACGGTCTAAATTTTCATTTTTTTGTCCCAAAAATTTAGTTCAAACAAGTGCTTAGTTTGTTTTAGATTTACTTATAGTAAGATATAAATATATATTGAATTCAATGAATTAATGACATAAAGTAGACAGTCAAAAAAATATATGGTGAAATTGATGGTTTAAAATTGAACCAAATCGTTAGGTTTAGGTTTGAGTTTTTTTTAAACTGTTCAAAATGGTTTGGTTTGAGTTTGAGTTTTTCTCAAATTGGTTTAAATGGTTTGGTTTAAAAATCTGTCAAAAATCGATAAAATCGGACTGCTTACACCCCTGATTTTTAGTAAAGAACGAGTTTTTGAATAGTAATCTTTTGAAGAACGTGTGGCTAAAAAGTAGAGAAAAATTTTGGATTTACGTGAAGATATTCTATTGTGACAATGTGCAGTTAAAAATGAATATGAAAAAAATTAACTTTGAAAGAATTATTACCAAATATGGGCTAAAATTGACTATAAATATATGACTTGAGTACAACCATTTTCTCCTATCTATAGTGAGAAGTCTTATCTTGCACGCTTTAGAAGAAACCTTACTTAAGGTTTTCATATTTGGAGAAAATCGTAAGTAAGAATCTCCTATCATTTCAACAAGTGGGAAATCTTATCCTATCCATCGTGAACACGAGAACAATTTCTGACTTGAGTAATGCACTGTAATGGTGCTAACAATACCTTCTAAGCGATGGCTAGTTCAAGATGCTGAACAACAAAGTTTGGTTTTGGAAAAACACCATCATTATGAGAATGTACACGTGGTAGAAAAATTACGCCAATCCATTGAAATATGGTATGCTACAACTTTTGAAAAGCTACAAATGGGGAAGCCATGGATATTGATGTGTAATTTTGACGTGCACGAGAAAATACGAACAACTAAGAAAAGCACTCAAAAAATAAATTGTACTTATTGATTATCACGAATTTATGTCTCTATCTATCCATCCTATTAGATAAAAAAGGAAAGTAACCATGTTAAATACCAAATAAAAATCTTCATAATTACCTATGTGCTATGTTTTTTTAAATAGAAATTGTCAAAAGAGAGAATTAGGGTAGGAAGGTGCACTGATATGTCCCAATTAGGTTGGTACATTCTCAGTATTCTTATCATTTTGCATCTCGAACATGTTATCGATGATGGAAGAGTTACAAAGCTATCCAAATAAAGCAACAACCGAAATCAGCTCAAATGAAACATGTTGAGATTTTCTCCAATCTTATACCAAAATTTGAGTAAGTTTTGTATCATTTTACATCAAATCTTGCACCAAACTAAAAATCATTTCCAATCAATACATCGAAACTTACACCAAATGAATAGTGTTTAATCATTTTATTCATTTTTTTTATTCTTAACCATTTATTTATTTGAAAAATTATTTATTTACTTATTTTACAAATATGTAAATTACGAAATAAATAAGTCTGTTAAATTAATGAAAATATGGAATTCATTATTAAATACAAAAAAATATATATATATAGTAAATCAACTTAATAATCATGTTTGTTATATTTTATAATTTTTTGTATTCTTATTTTGATCAATTCATTAACTATTATTTTTACATCATTAAAATTTATTTTAAATGCACGTAATAATAATAATAGTCGTCGTAGTAGTAGTAGTTTATTGTATTAAAAAATATATAACTCAAATGACACAAATATCCTTAACTAATTTGTTTGGCAAATGAGAACAAAGAGTAAAATTGACTTTGCACAATTTGCAACACTATTAGCTTTGTACAATCTTACACCAAATGGTACAACGTTTGGTACTACACTAGAGACATTTTACACCACAATTTGGTGCATTTAGTATTTTGATGTCTCCTATGAAGATGCCCTAACAAAGTTCATATAATCTATAACTAATTCTACCCATCAGATCGTGGGACACATAGTTGAAGCAAAAAATTTCAACAATGTTCTTGATCCACTCCAACTCACTTTCCTTACTTTTCTTTTTCCTCGTATGTTTTACTCTCGTGATTTTGATAAGATTTTCCACAAGCTAAAGAATGGATTGTAAATTTGAAAGTCAATATATATTCTGTCTCGATTTCTCAAGGGATTTTTTCTCTTGGAATTTTTGTATTCTCGAATCCAAGTTCTCGGTATTCGAGAAAGATGGAAATATTTTACTTTTAGAGATCTATTCTCCTTTTCAAAAGTTTTTTTTTTTTTTTTTAATTGTGCAATAGCTTATTTATAGGAGTTTGATAAAGGCATTCTAGGTATTTAGCCCTTGTTTGAGCCATATTTTGGGGGGGGGGGGGGAAATTTTTTTAAATGGGTTTTTTTTGGAAATTTGTGGTTAAAAAAAAAAAAAAAAAAGATTTAAAAAAGTTGTGAGCTTATAAAGTTTGAAAATCGATTTTAAGGAAGATGAGCCTACCAAGAACATACCTCACATCTAGGTAGAGGAGGATGAACCAAACTAGATTTTTATCTATACACAGAAATAAAAATTACATACCTTAAATAAATCTTAAAAAACTAAAAAGATTTTGTGGTTTTTTGCCTTTTTTTTGGCCTTTTTTGGGGGGGGGGGGGGAAATATTTTTGAATAGTGTATTCATGAGAAATTTGTGGTTAAAAAATAAAAAAAAAATGGATTTATGTGTAATATTATTTTATTGAAATATGTGATGGAAATGATGTCAAAACATTACTTAAGAATATTTTTTTTTCCAAAGAATGGGGCTCAAACAAGGGCTGTCTTAGAATTCACTAATAAATTTTGGATAATTATATTCATATCTCAATTTTTATTTCTAGCAGCAAATTTTAATTGTGCTTATGGTTCTTAATTTTTGCTCATTATGGGATTTATGTTTCTAACGATTTTTCATGTCATTTTTATCCCAAACTTTCTATTAGTTAACACATTTTGTAATTGATAACAATTTTATGTCCAAAGTCTGTAGAAATGACGTAAAATAATTTATTTTTCCATCATATTTCAAAAATTCAAATAAAAAGTGCAAATTTTTTTCCCTCATTTCAAACCAAGAAAACCAAAATATTTTAATATAAATCATCATCTAGGACGAGATGTAGTAATTAATGGAAAATTGAAAATAAGAATTCAACGGAAAAAAGTTAAGAAAATAATCGTTACAATGAACAAAGATTGAGGAGTTTAACTGCGGTCAAAATATGGTGTATCAAATAAAAATTATAGTGACAATATAATCACCATAAATTTTTATTTTCAAAACTTGTTGATATTTATGCTTTGTTGACACTTGTCCAACACTAGCGTGTCTGCAAATATGCCCTTGTTTGAGCCCCATTTATGTCAAGAAAATGCATTTTTGAATAGTGTTATGATGTGAAATGTATGGTTAAAAAATAAGGAAAATTTTTAGATTTGAGTATAATATTTTTTTATTGAAAAATATGTGGTTGAAATGATGTCAAATCACTTTTTAAAAATGAATTTTTTCTAAAGAATTTGGCTCAAACAAGGGCAAAAGCACGGGGGAAATATACTCATCCATAAATTTTTATTTTCAAAACGTATTGATATTTGTGCTTTGTTGATACTTGTCCAAAATTAGTCTATCTGCAAACTAAGGCATGGGGGCATTAACATCAAAATTGATGTGTTAGAATTCTCAGGGAAGCCTCAACGATCGAAAAGTTCTTTTATTCAGGTAGGCATCAACGATTAAGACATAAATATTTCTTCAATGACATGCAGGCAAATGACGAGACTTTTTTGTGAGTGATATGGTTTCAGATGGACCATAATACCTTCCATACGTAACATTGCATTACCATAATTTGTGTTGTATATTTGAAAACGATTAACCTCTTCGCATCTTTCATCGATCCACATAGATAAAATGTAGAACTGGTGCTACTTGCTGGTTGAAGGCGACATCCTTAGTAATCACCAAGATGCAACCATACAACCTGAAATTCATTCTTCGTCCTTTGCACACATTGTCTGTCATAGTACCATAGCTACTCGTGGTACTCCTCACCAGACTTTCAGTGACCGAGCTCGATAAGCAACCTTTATATTCTAGATCTTTTGACATTTTTAAGTTCACCGAATTGATTGAACATGTCAAGCTGAATCTCGTATCAACACATCTTAACAAACATTTTTAACAATATTTTCCGAGGTTAAATCCACCAATAGCTACCAAACTTTACTCTTAGCGTTACCATGGTCATCAAATTTGATTTTGTTTCATCATAACTATCCAAATTTATATTTGGTATCACCATGACTACCTAGTTAGAATTTATTTCACCAAGACTGCCCAACTTTTATATAATATTCCACCACGACTGTCCAATTTTATATAATGTTTCATCTTGGCCATCCAATTTCTTTTCACCATTCTCACTAATTTTAAAAGGGGTAAAACGGTAACTTTATGTCATATATAAAAAATAATAATTTTAAAAACAAAAATAAATGAAAACTTATTTAAAAATTAAAATAAAATAATAAGTTATCCCTATTACAATAAAAGAGGCAATATGTCAATTACTGTTCATTCAGAACGTATTTTGAGTTTTCCTATTTTACCCTTCAATATCCCATAATATCTCATTTCACTTTTGAAACGTGATCTAATGTTCTTCTCTTTTCCTGTTTTATCCCAGATTTTAAGCCCATTGACACATTTTATTTATTTATTTTCATTCCTATTACTTTCTAAACCATCATTTTCATTTTCTCATGCAACTTCAAATTCTTTCTTTCTTTCTTTCTTTCGTTTTTTTTTTCAATTACCTTATACCCTCGTGTTCCCACTTAACGAGTTATTTTGTGGAATTTGTTTTTTTTGGAAGGCCATTCGATTTGAATTGGAAGAAAGTCGAACAACATGGAGACCACGATAAATGTTACTCACTACACCTCTGCATGAATACCATTTTAGCTTCTTATTTAGTTAATTTTCATCATATATGAACTATTTATTATGTGATTTTAATATTATGTCTAAGTCATGAAAGCAAATAAAAACGAAAAAACAGAACATTTTAAAATGGAAAATGCCAAAAAAAGAAAAATTGAACATATGAAAAAAAAAAATTCCACTCCGTTGTGTGCAGAGTTCCTACAAACGAAAAAACAAAAGAACATTTAAAAAAAAACAATTGCCAAATTAAAAAAAAAAACATTTAAAAAAAAATATTCCTCCACTCCGCACTCCGCACTCCGCACAGCGCGGAGTTGAACTCCGTGACATGGAGTTCAATCCACATTTCACTGTCCATTCGTATGGCCTAGTTTTCACACCTATAGATCCTACTGTTCACAATCGGGTTCCTATTGTATACTGCATTAAATTGAAAAAAAATAAAAAAATAAATAAATAAATATATATATATATATATATATAGAGAGAGAGAGAGAGAGAGAGAGAGAGAGAGTTGGGCTTTCTTGCATAATTTTGTCATCAGAATCACTTTTTGCTAGTATTTACAAGGCAAGATTCAAAAACCTGCCCACCGCCTGGTTTCCTTGCCCAGAATCCAAACCCTAATTTCACTCACTCTCTCTCAATCACAGCATAAATTTTCAAACATACCTGTAAGTATAATTCTCACGCCTTCAATTTCTTCCTCTTGTGTATGTTTCTTTCGTTTTATTGTTGAAGCAACTATTTTTTTTTTGTTTTTTTCACTCCTTTGTTCGTTCTTTTAAGAGATCGAATCTAAAATACCTAAAGTATGTTCCTTTCATATTCTTACTGTGTGTTTTTTGTGCGATTTCTTTGGATTTGTTCAGTTGTACTGTTGAATCTGCAATTTTGTTTCTTTTTCTTTTTCATTCTTTTCTATTCCAATTAATATTTATTATTAAGTGCTTTCGATGCGTTCGGTTCATATTGATTTTTTATAAACTTTTTTCTGTGTTTTTTTCTTCCAGGATGTAAAAAGTCCTCCAGCCTCGATCGATGGTATGTTTTTTCTTCGTGTTATGCTCGATAATTTGCTTACATGAAAATTTATGAAGTTCGACTAATGAATTTACTTTGATTATATGTTCAAGAGTCACACGGCGAACGATATTCTATTATGCTTTTAGCCATTAATAACTAATTAAGATATTTCATTTGAGAATTTTGGTTAGACTACATTTTAACTGATTGGATGTGATATTACTGTTTGTGGGATTTTCCAATTGTTTTACTCACTAGCTAAATCAATTTGTAGAATTAGTCCCGATTAAGTTTTCTTGGATTCAAGAGGAATTGCTTGTTCAAATCAATTTTTCTTTTTTGACACGTAAAAAGAAATGAACCGGTAGAAATATAGTTCAGATTCAAGTATTTTTTTATCTAATTAATTGAAAGAACTCAGCTTGAAATGGTTAGCTAGCAAATGTTTCTTATATCTGACCAACCATGTGCAGTCAATATTTGAATACACACTAACTTTTTTGTTTTTCCATGCAATAAAAAGAAAAGGGAAAAGCCCCCTGCACAGACAGGGCCTGTACAGGGGCTCTCACATGGGGGTGGACCCCACATGTGGAACTCATGTGTGGAGTCTACCTCCATGTGTGTGCACCTGTACAGGCCTGTGCAAAAGGGTCTGTGCAGGTAACATAGTCTAAAAGAAAAATCACCTTATAGCATCTAGGAACAATGTCCTGTAAGCATTTCAATTCTCTTCTCACCCGACACATGAATCTACTATGTTACTAATGATCACGAGTATTTCTATATTATGGGGGTATTTGGGAGTTATTTTTATGTAAAAATGCATTTTAGAATAGTAAATTGATGGAAAATGTGTAATTGAAAAATAAATAAAAATTTTTTATTTACGCATAATATTATTTTAATAAGAATGTGTAGTTGAAAAGAAGAGAGAGAAAAATGCATTTTGAAAAAAATGGGTACCAAAGGGGCTATATTGAGGAACTTATGCGCACGTAGAAATGCTTGAGGGAAAGGGCAGAACTTACCCTCTCTGCTAAACTGTGACTATCAGTAGCCTGGCCTCTTTTAGCTCTAACATGTACGACATCCTTTGGTTTCTCCTCTCCATTTTCGTTTAATTTTACTTTTTCCCTTTTCCTGCACTCTGCAAACAGAAGGAAAATCCCATGAATTCATATTCACGAAGGTCAAGCTGAAAAACACGAATGAACAAAAACAATCTTCGTACATTTTTCCTTGAAACAACGTTTGTAGAACCTTGACCAGATGAATAAGCACCACTACTTTGTGAGGTGTCAATTGTTTCCTCTTCTTTCCTGCACGATGATCATTTGCAGTTTGAGGCACCAAATTCTTCTCCTCATGAATAAACAAACTCGGAAAATCTTCTGAGATTTCTGTGCATTCGTTTATTAACTCAGGAAAAATATTGTCATTGGGAAATCTCATCAAATTCTGCAAGTTCAAAATTGATGTACCTTGATAAGTTGGATTTATTTCTGGAAAATTGTTCATAAATTCCATGTTGGAATTAATGTCTGATGATGGGAAAGGCATTTTGGGTGTTATGAATGATACTCTATTTGGTCATAATGATTTGAACGAATCAGTCTTCCTTTATGTTGTTAAATTTTGGGTTAGAGGAGCAAAAAGAAACCCATGTTCGATTCCAGTGGCTACAAAATTGAAATCTTTTCATAATAGATGAGGCTATACTCTCTCTATTAAAAATAAAAAATAAAAAAAATAAAAAATTATGGAAATTGCTACCATATATAAAAAAAGGGTTTAGGTTAGCTATTCTTTGTCAGTTTCGTGAATTTGGTATTTTTAAGCCTTAAAAACAATTTTTTTAACAATTACAGGTTATATTTATTTGTGTGTAATAGAGTTTATGTGTATTAGGATTTATAGGAAGTGAAGATAAAGAAGCCAAGGAAATTCAAAGAAGTTGAAAAGAAGAAGACAACGAAGAAAGACGATAAAAAAGCTAAAGTGGAAGAAGCTCCAGCTGGTTATATTCATGTAAGAGCAAGGAGGGAACAGGCAACAGATAGTTACAGCCTTGCAGAAAGGGCACTCAAAAAACTGTTCTTCAAATATTTCTATTAGAATTTTTATTTTTTATTTTTACCGTAGTTTCCTCGAAAATAATCCTATTAAATTACCAAAATTTGGAATATTGATTTTCACAATTTATTTTCTAATTATTTCAAGCGGGGAGGGAAAGAATAAGTGAAAGAATGAAGCTTCTCCAAGCTCATGTTCCTGGTTGTGACAAGGTGAATATTATGAATCACAAATAATATTACATGCACAAAAAATTAACATTTTCCTCCTTCGAGGATGGGGAGTACAATGAAAGAACTAAAGAAACTATACTTCATTTGTTTAGTGTCTTTGTGGCTCCTAAATTACATTCAGACTCACTGTTTGAAAGAAATTTTGTCGGAAAGTCGATATACATAATTGTCTCTGTATGTAGAAATTCTATTCTGTTCAAAGTTCTTCATCCGAGAGCTTCATGTGAATCGAGTGATAAACAGGTAACTGGGAAGGCCCTTATGTTTGATGAAATAATCAACCATGTCCAGTCCCTGCAAAATCAAGTGAAGGTATAATATTTTTTTCTTCAAATTATCTAATTAAACACAATTTTAATTTATAAAAAAAAAAATTAATATATGTTTTCATCTCAATGTATATATTCAGTTTATCTCGATGAAACTCACTTCGAATAATCCCATGTTCTACGACTTCGAAATGGATTTTAGAACCATTCATGGTTAGACCTGACCAGGTACATAAATTTATCTTAATGAACGGTATTTTTATTAGTTTAAATTGTATCCTTGTTTATGCATGTCTTGTGTTTATTTTTATTATGGTTCATCAGAATTTTTTTATATGAAAAATGAGCCAAAATGAAATAAATTAATCAAACACCTTTTCTTGAACTAACTTAATGAATTGAAATAATAGAAGTTTTGTTAGGTTGGAAATTAAGGAAATAGAGTGTTCTGTTTGTTTATATTTGTATTAACGAAATTAAGGAGATTCTTTTGTATTCCTATGCTATATACTGGTTTGAAAGAGGAATTTTGGGTGGAAGGAAGGATGAATGGTTTGCTTTCGTATGCGTACAGGACGGGCAATTGAAGTGGGTTGTGCTTAAATTTTGATCGTTTTAGGTAGAGAACTGCTGCAGTTGTTAAATGTGCACATGATTGGTCGCTTGCTGGAATGCTGCTCGTGGAATTGATTGTTCTACTTTGCTTTGTAGTGATTAATTCTAAGGATTATAAGTTTGATTTCGATCTTATTCGGTTTTCAGCATGATAATCCATTGGCACAGTTTAGTGTATGTGGGAAAGTTTTAGCTAAATTTGATTGTTGATATCGAGTTTCTGGTTTTATTCTGGTGTTATAATTGATTTGATTGTGGGAGGGATGTGAACTTCAAAAGTTTGGTCTTTTACTCGGGGTTCTAGTATGAGAATCAATTAGGCAGTTTCGTCCATGTCAGGAAGCTTAATTCCTATTTCTTTGTTTCTGGCATTATTGAGTTTGTGAATCTATTCTGGTGGTCTAATTGAATCTCATAGAAAGATTTTAAGGTGTTGAGCTGTCTGTAAAGAGAACATTTGTTTATTATGGATATGGATTTAATACATGGAAGAAAGAGATTTGGGGCTCATTGACACATTTTCCCTTGCATAATAGTGTGCTACTTAACTCTTTTTTTCGGTATACATAAATTACTTGTAATTTCGTGTTAGAAACATCACTATTTTTTACTGCATAGTGGCTGCTTGAAATTTAATTGGGCAACACAAAGCAGTTATTAGGATCATATGCTTTCAAAATATGGAAGCAGAAATTCAAACAATTGGAAAACTAATGTCCTCTACGTTTAAGTCATTGACTTTATCAGATGTGTGTCATATCGATATCCTTGTATCTTATCTGTGTGAAGTGTTTATTTATAAAATGTGAGAATAATAAATATTTGCCCACATTATATGACATGTTTAATAGTACTCGAAAAAACAGAAGAAAAAAGCAAATTAAAATTTGTTCTTTAAACCCTTCATTCTATTCCTATCCAATGTTGTTGCCAAACATGAACATAATAAGAGTTATCCTCAAGCTTGTGTGAAACTTCGGCAATTCAATTCAATGTACACGATCATATTAATAGTGTTTTGGTTTCGAATTGAACACAAACAGAAGATTAATAAAAGATTATTGCCACAAGTACCTTGTTTCACGTGATCATCTGGAGTAGGTGAAAATTTCCTTAATATAGAATATTTTAGTATGCCTGAAACTTTTATTACAACGTCTACTTAGAGGTTTTGATTTTGCACATTCTTCATTTGGTTTTTGTGTTTTGTTCCATAATCTTTGCTTCAAGTTTACTTATGCATAAATCCACATGTGCATATTCATTTACGTGGTTAATTCAATTTATTTCTGGATTTTCATGTTGCTGTTTCATATGCTTTTAATGTGGACGAATTCGGATGTGAATAAAAAATTTGGACGAGCTGCCGACACATTTTTGCATTTAATTATTTTGCTATTTTCATATCAGTCATGTCCCTAAATTGTTAAATTGTTGGTATCTCTGCAATTGTTAAAGATAGAACATTAAGAGTTTGTTTGTCGATTTAAAAGTTATATGGTTTTTATCTTCGAAACTCTCGCATGCCTATTCATTGGCTTTTAGGTGCTTTTAGGTAGAGAACTGTACTAACCATGACTAAGCCTGAAGGTATGTCCGTAATTGTTCTTACTGATCAAGGGGATAAAGTTTTTCGATCTCATGCCCTTCAATTGGAAATATTCATTTGATTTTACTTTGCTTGTCTGTAGAAGAGGAAATTGATTGTGTTAATTTTGTAGTATGATTCCAAGTTACTTGATTGCATATTAACATGCGCGTTAACTTGGTTGGGAAGACGAAAAAAAAATAATCTTGTACTTGTCTAAATACTTGAGCTTCTGGCATTTTTATGTGTCTTTGCCAATTATCAAATTATCATCACTTTGAACATATTCGAACATGATTAACAATAATTTCAATTTGATAAGCTAATTAACTTGTCTACTTTGATCTTGAACAGGAAACACCAGTTTTGGTTTCGTTACGGAATTTTCATTTTTCAAGGGGTAAAATCACAACTTAATTGTTGACCATTTTCATCTGATGCCAGGAAGAAAAATTTGAAGTTCATTGTTCTCAATTTTTTCTGTATTTTAATCATTTCAATCATTACAAATAAATCAATTTTATTCTTCTCTTGTATCGCTTGATGTCTTAATCAAATTGGTCATTGGCATAGGGCCAACCTTTTGTTAAGTGTCGTCTGAATCACACACATCATTACATGTACAACTAGAAACAATCTTTTATAAGTTGTTTCTATTAATGGTGTCGCAGAAAATATTTTCTTAATTTCTTTGTACTCTTAAGATGCTTCGGAATTATATTTTATTAGTAAAATCATATGGAAATTTACCTTTTCAAATTAAGTTTATTTTGTTGATCTTATTCAACTCAAATTTCTTTGATCAACCAAATTTAACACGCTAATATTATTTTAAAAAATAACACAATGGATAGGCGATCAGTTTTCAAAAAAAATTCCTTAAAAAACTAAAATAAAAATTTATTTAAAAAGTGTTTTTGAAATAAAATAAAAACTTGTTTTAAAAAACGTTTTTAAAATTTTAAAAAAGTTTTATTTTTGTTTTTTAATTTATTTTTTTATATATAATGCAAATTTATTATTTTAATCATTTTAAAATTAATGAAAATGAAGAAAAGAAGTTGGGTGTTTGTAGTATGTGAAATTAGATGGCCATGGTGGAATAAAGTCAAATTGGGCGGCCATTGTGACAGTAAGCCCATATTTGAGCCACATTTGAGAAAAAATACATTATTCATGTCAAATCAATGGAAAATGTGTGGTTAATAAATAAGAAAAAGTTTTAGATTTGCGTGTGATATTATTTTATTGATGAATGTGTGGTTGAAATGATATCAAATCATTGTCAAATAATATATTTTTTTTAAAATAATGCGGCTCAAACAAGCTCTAAGCATAAATTTGGATGGTCATGATAAAACAAAATCAAATAATAACGTTAAATATAAAATTGAGTGGTCATTGGTGAATTTAACCCATATTTTTCTATATTAGTTAATGTTGAATGTGCATTGCACGTTATTCTATAATACTTTATAAGTACAGTGAAAGTAATAATTAACCCCTCATTCGCCATTTTGATCTAGATATGAGAAAAATATAAGTATCTGAAAATAAAAATATAATTATTATACACACAAGTAAATAGTGAAATGAACTTAAGGGCATATTCGATAGTGATTATGAGAATTGATTTTTTGATCGTTAGAAAGAAAAATAAGCCCTACCTGTAAGTAAGAAAATAAAAAAATGACGGCTGAAATTGTAAAATAACAATCAAAAAATTGATTTTTTTGGATGAAAAATTGCTACCAAACGGCAGCTAAATGTGAGTATTAGAATTACAACTAAATGCAAAAATGAAGATGAATGGAAAATACGATTTATGAATTAACGTGAATGTAGTTGATTTAGAATTAATATCAAGAAGTATATACGCGACTTAAATCATTATACTAAATGAATATAATTTAATTTTCAATTAATTGAAAATAGATGTTAATTAACATACATAGACGTGAATAATGAATTGCACTCTTGAATGTAAAATTCTAATTAATATTAATTAAATGTATATGAATATTAATTAATTGAGAATTAATAATAGGGACATGGTTGGGAATTTGAATGTGATTGATAATTAATTGAGAATTGATAATAGAGAGTAAATGCACAAACAAGAATTTTATAGTATGAATTACAATTCGTAAATTAAATAAATATTGAAAAACAAAAAGTTAGGTATTTATTAAAATAATTGAATTTGTAGTGGGGCTATAGTCATCCAAAAAATTATTCTCACTTGATGTGATTATTATTATTATTATTATTATTATTATTATTATTATTATTATTATTATTATAGGTTTATGTTGTTTATAAAAATTCAAACCACACATTTTGAGAAATTCACAAATATTAGTTACTTATCCGTCACTTCTTTCTATCTGTAACTAAAGATGGTTCATAGACACTTTTCAAACATGCTCAAGGTTAATATTAACCCATTATAACTCATAATAACCTAAGTAGTCCTCAAAACCTACTAGATGTAATGTTCAAGTCCAACATGGAAAACCATAAAAAAAAAAAAAAAGAAGAAAAAGGTTTACTGGATATCCTTATGAGCAATCATTTCGTGGGTATGATTTCTATTACCAAAATTGAACCACTGATTGTGACCATCTAGCGGTCTGAGGAACACATTGGATTATAAAACACCTTATTATCGTCTGCAATCATATTTGATAATTAATATTATTATTATAATTATTTATAGGCAATTAGAGAGTAAAATCATTAATTATGGTCATAATTCAATATTGATGGTTAGTGTGACAAAGCTTTGCCAACATTTCAGATTAAATTAAATATAAATTATCCCTTGGATAAGTTAAGTCTAGAAACTAGAAAGCCACCAAACATCATAAAATTGGCCGGTTTAGTTGGTTTGTCTGTTTTAAGTTTAAATAAAATGCGTACTTTCTGATCTCAGACTTTAATCGACAGTTGTGATCTCACTTCTCTCTATCAATGTTAGTTCTCAAATGTATCTTCAAAATCACTTTTGTTATTTCCTTGGAATTTTCATTGCTTCTTCGCTTGATATCAGAATATTCCTCTATCACAAAGTAACAACAGATTGTTATCATGTGTGACAAAATCAAGAACCAAAACCAGAGCCAAAATCCATTTTCTTCAGGTGGGAAGGCCATGAATATTTCACTTGTTAAGCTCCTTTCTTGCTTATTCTTCTTCGTATTCGGGTTAACTTTTGGGATACTTGTTTGTTTCCATTACAAAAGCTTCTCTTTCAATGTACTAGTCACAAATAGCCAATTCTCTATCTTCACTTCACGATCACCATCAAGTAAGCAACTTAGTGTCATTATGCATAACATGAATGATCAAGAATTGCTGTGGAGAGCCTCAATGATTCCAAGAATTAAAGAATTTCCGTTCAAACGACGGCCGAAGATTGCATTCATGTTCTTGATCAGAGGTCCGGTTTTGTTAGCCCCTTTATGGGAGTTGTTCTTCAAAGGAAATGAAGGGCTATACTCAATTTATGTGCATTCTGATCCATCTTTCAATGTATCAGAGCCTCAAGGTTCGGTTTTTCATGGCAGGAGAATTCCTAGTAAGGTCAGTTTAATTCATTTATTCCTATTGCATTATTATGTAAAATTGTTGCTTAAACACACATATCTATGTTATGAGTTCCATTTTTTGAGGAAAAATTCCCGTCCCTAACTTTTAAGGTTCACCTCTTAAGACCGAACTCAATGCATTCACAACAAATATTCCTTCTAGTAATTCAGATGTAGTTATAGTTTTGTGTATTAATTTGATATAGTTAGATAAATTTCTATTAATGAAGATTGTTGGAGAATTTATACACTACCAAACTTAAGATAGAAGCAATTTTTTCAGAACATTTGTACCTATATCCCTTTTTTTGGGTGTACTTATTTTCTCTGCAAATTGGGGAGAATGGACAAAATTAGTACGACTTTTCATTTGGTGCTTGACGATTTTGGGGTCTTTGAAAATTCTAAATCAAGAATGACAGTCAAGTTCTGCATATTTGTATCCAAGACACATTTAGGTCATGTTTGATCCACATTATTTAGAAAAAATACATTCTTAAATAGTTATTTGATATCATTTTAACAACACATTTTTCAATAAAATAATATTACACGTGAATCCAAAATTTTTCTTTATTTTTTAACCACACATTTCCCATCATACACTATTCAAAAATGCATTTTGTCCAAAATAATTTTGCCCAAACAAGGGCGAAATGTAAACGCAACTCTTATACATGTTCTGAATATCACATTAGAAGATAAACTTAGGCTTTGTTTGAGCCTCATTATCTCCTCATTAAAATGAAAAATATGATCGTTATCCGTTACATCAAACTACCATATTTGACTTTTTATATCTTGTTTGGGGTCCATAACAACTATATTTTTCGTGCCATTTTTACAATAATGTGGCTTAAATGGGGGCTTAATAACAAGTAAATATTGCGACTATTTAGAAGTCGGCGAAGCTCTCCACGATTTGCTCATACAAAAAGTTCATTGACATTATTGAATGCATATCACCATCCCGATTTCTCGAGCAATCTATTCAATTCTTAACTAAGCTACCAAGTGATAAGACATGTTTTGTCTTTTTTACGAGACTATAAAATTGTATCGAGTGCTGCATCTCAAACGTGTAGTAAATGATGCGTCGTTTGGGGGCTAAAATTGATTGTCTTTTCATGTCGAGTTGAAGAAGAAACCATGGCCTCACTATAAATGGGACAATAGCTAGCCATGGCCTTTGCAGAATGGGGCAGCATTTATGATGCATACCGAGAAACAAGGCCCCTCCTATTAACTCTGTGCTAATCGGTCCCCATCCTAACCAACCATAATCAAAGATATTTCTTCACACTGCCTTATCTTATCTCCAAATTGCATTAATTCAAATGCCATATCCTTTCCAGTAACTCACGCCAGTTTTTTAAAATTCAATACTGAGATAGATTAAGCTGTGGAGTCTAATTATTGTCATTGTGCAGAGTCAGTATGCAGATCGGAAGAGAGGTTAGAGAATATAAATTGTGCGATTTTCTCTTGTAAACTTGTTAGTTATTGCAACCACAAAAGAGGATGTAGTGTTTATTTTTCTTTCTATAGATTGATTGCTCCCGGTGGAATAATATTATGGTTTCTAATTCTCAAGAACCTACATAAGATTAGAAAAGAATGTCACATGTTGATGAATGGAAGAGAGATCCAGCAACTCGATCCTTCTTTTCTGATTAGACAACGTGATTCAATTAATAGTTGTGGAAAGGCATAACTTAACTTGTTCATGATGAACTAGCACGAATCGTAGAGTGCTCTACTATTCAAATAATATTAGAGTAATTGTATAGTCCACCGGGAGGCTAAATCCTCTCCTGAGTTTTCAATCTTTGTTTTTATTCACATTTCTGTGCAGATTGCTTCTATTCTTTTTACCATTGATGAATTTTGATCTTATAGAAATACTTGTGAAAATTGCAGAAAGTCGAATGGGGTCATGTAAACATGATCGAAGCAGAACGCAGACTATTAGCAAATGCTCTTCTTGATTTCTCAAACCAACATTTTGTTCTCCTCTCTGAATCATGCATTCCCCTTTATAATTTTTCCACAATATACTCTTACATAATGAATTCAACCCAAAATTTTGTGGAGGTATACGATCTACATGGCCCTGTCGGTCGAGGAAGGTACAGCATCCTAATGCAGCCATTGATCAAGCTTGACCAATGGAGAAAGGGCTCCCAATGGTTTGAAATGGACAGAGATCTTGCAATTGAAGTCATAGCTGATAATACTTATTTTCCAGTGTTTCAAAACTATTGCAATGGTTCATGTTATGCTGATGAGCATTATTTGCCAACATTTGTGAGCATGAAATTTGAAGAGAGGAATTCAAATAGAAGTTTGACTTGGGTTGACTGGTCAAAGGGTGGGCCCCATCCTACTAAGTTTATAAGAACAGATGTTACTCCAGAATTTTTGGAGAAGTTAAGAAGTGAAAATTCATGCGAGTACAATGGTAAGAAAACTAATGTTTGTTTCTTGTTTGCAAGAAAATTTACACTCAATGCTTTGGATAGATTGCTGAGGTTTGCACCAATAGTTATGCACTTTAACAAGTAGGTTTATAGATATGTATAGAGAATCATCAAATTATTGGGCACCATATATCAAGGTCCCCCACATTTAATTTTTTTTTTATTTTTTTATTTCTCTTATGATTTTGTACTGAATTGAATTTAGAAACCAAGAATTTCACGGGCAAAAATGATAATCCCTAAGGTTCTGTTACAAAATGAGACAATGGATAGTGTGGTCAACAAGATTTTTACTTCGTTTAAAGAGAAAAAATAAATTGCCACGTATAAACCGATCATCTCTACAAAAATATGTTAATAATGATCAAACAAGGTAAGACACGTGTGAAACGTCAATTGAAACAACATGCAATAGAGCTGAGGATTCATGCCTCATCAACCTAAAAACTCATGAGACTAGCAAGATAACTTTATAGGAACGAAAAGTTAGAAAATCAGAGACAGAACAACGTACATGAAACTTTATTTTTTTTCAACTTTGCCACACAATTACAAAGCATATACGGAATTATGTGAAGGGCCAACACAAATTCCTTTCCTGTTGCCTCAACACCCAGCCAAATATATAGAAATTTGTATGCGGTTGACGCCCCCCATATGCAAAAGGATAGTTCCACAATTTTTAGCCTACCACTAACCCAAACTGCTCCATTATTCAAGCACTTAGCCAAACAGCCTTAAATTGCCATTCAAGTGCCATTTTTGTGCTTGTGACATACAAATTTTGGACTAAAGGAAGCTATGGGGCGCACCCTATTTTTCTTTTTCGGTTGCCACGGGAGTCAACTTCAACTATCAGACCTAACTTAACTAACAAACTTCTTTTAGACAATTGTGCATCCCCCACATTCATAGGCAATGCTGCACATGCTACTGAGAATCCAGTCCATACAGTGTTGTCATTATGTAAATTCTATACCGCATGGCTTCCATCTCTATCGGATGCATGCATTCCTCACACATCCGTGCAAATTAACTCCACAAGAAACTTGACGAAATGTGCCAATCAAATGTCCACCAGGGTAGTAATGGCAAAGTAACCCGCCCGGCCCCTCTTGAATAGGGCAACAAAATCCACTCCGAACGGGTTGGCGGGGCGTGGCGGGGCATCCTAAAAGGGAAAAAAAAATAAGAAAAAATATTAAAAATAATTTTATTTCTAGACAATTCACCATTTAAAAACTCATTTTGAATTTGTATTTTATTCTCTAATAATGGCATAATTCGAAATTTTGAAAATGTTAAAAAAAAATAACGAAAAAAAAATTATATATATAATAAAAATTAAACAGGGCAAAAAATTGCTCCACCCCCGCCCCGTCTAAGGCGGGCGGGGCGAGATTTGGGTGCAAACCGCCTCGCCCTATTGCCATCCCTACATCGGTGTAATATCACATGTTGTCTTGTCAAATGAGTGGCGGGACGAGATTTGGGTGCACACCGCCCTGCCCCATTGCCATCCCTTAATATTACCCATTGTCTTGTCAAATACGTACAATTATCGTCATGGCAATGACATATGGCAAGGGAATTGAGAGTACAAGGCTCTTCCCCAAGCCTATACGGAAGTGATATGGTTTTGCAACAAAGGGTCCAAATTTCTCAAATCCTTGTATGTAATGGTCGAACAATCTTGAAGCAAGTTCTTTGTCCTCAAATCCAGTATTCCATTCAAGAACCAAACATATGGAGGTGAAAGTACACTTCACTGCTTCTCGAACAAATTGAAGTCAGGTATATATATCCATAGAATTCCATATGTTTATTTAAAAAAAAAAAAAAATTGCATCAGTGATATCAACCAATATTTTGAAATAATCAAGTTCCTTATCCTAAAATTATAATTATTAAGTTGGCTATTCAACAGTTCCAATCTGCATATGAAACAAATTTTAGAAGTATACTCAGTGCTGACAATTTTGTTTTTAAAGAATTTCTGGAGACACACTGATCTAATGCAAGAGCCTTTATAGTTGTTGAACAGTTATAGCTAATAGAAATTTATGAATGTTTTTGCAGTATGATCCAGTTCGTCAATCAAATTAGCATCAAATGCAACAAACCCA